TTGAATAAAACTCAAAAAAATCACTTAGAGCTAAATGATAATAAAATACCACACATTGAAACTCAAGGAATACAATGAGAATATTAATTCACTGAGAATTTATAGCATTACCTGTTTAAGAAATGAATATCAATACTGATCATATCAATAAAATTGTTTGCCATAACCATGTGCATGGTTGAATTACTTGTGGGTGATTGCAGAGGTGAAGATAACAGATTCTTGGTTTCTCTAACAATTGAATGAACACACACACACACACACACACACACACAAGTAAAGTGGTAAACCAAGTTCAATAGAAAGTGCATCACTAAAGGAAACAGTAGCCATGAGTTAAGTGGCTCAAGAGTTAGTTTTCATCTTTGTATGATTTTGGGAGAACGGAAGAAGTTCATAGTAGTGGTAGTGGGCTGATCTTAGGGAAATAAAGGGTCATGACTTGGTAGATTTTTGGAAGGGATCTGTGCATATATAAGGCTTCCATCCTATAATTTTAAGTATATGTTATGAGATTCAACACATATGCATGAAGCCTTATGTAGGAGTTTGTTGTGCAAAGGTTAGGCTAAGGATGCAAAAAAATTCTACTATGTAGGAGCCTCAGTTTGGCTTGAACTAGTTAGGAGTTTCTGCACCAAGCATAAACTGACCACTAATTACCCACAAGAAAAATGGTCATGGGAGGAGACAGAACTCACAGGTGTCTCCTAGGATATGATTAGAAAAGGAGGTTGGTTTCAGCATTTTTTTCCTATAGCTAATCTGCTTTAGTGGGATACATTATACATACCATTTCATTATAAAAATTCCAGGTTAAATATAGCAGTGTACTTCTATTATACTGCGATTTTTAAAGTGTGAATACCACATCAATTAAGGTGAAAAATCCCATCTAAATACATGGTGAAACTTTTTGAGTCCTGGATTCTAGGAATGTTCATAGATCTCAAGAATGTAAGTGCACACCCCTCTCAGGGATTTTTCTGTTTTTAGTCTCTGTGTCATTTTATAGGTAGCTCCATTTTGTTTTTCTTTAGCCACACTGGAACTTCAGGCTTCCTGAAGCATTCCATGGCTTAAAAAATCTGTTTTATTGTCAAAGTGGTATACAGAGGGGTTACAGTTACATAATAAGGTAGTAACTACATTTCTTGTTTACCTTGTTACCCCTTCCCTCATTTTTCTCCCTCTACCCCCCCCTCCCCCATCATTCCTTATTTGAGGCTTGCTACAGTTCCAAACTATCTGGAATGCAAACATTCGACTCTTGCTCTGGGTGTTGTTTTTTCTCTCTCTCTTTCTCAATCTTCTTAATAGTTCAGAAGCACTCCCGGACATGTGATTTTTTTTTTTTTTTCCAGTTGCGGGGCTTGAACTCTGGGCCTGGGCACTGTCCCTCAGCTCTTAAGCTCAAGGCGAGCGCTCTACCACCTGAGCCACAGCACCATTTCCGGTTTTCTAGTGGTTTATTTGGAGAAAAGAGTCTCACGGACTTTCCTGCCCGGGCTGGCTTTGAACTGCGATCCTCAGATCACAGCCTCCTGAGTAGCTAGGATTACAGGCGTGAACCACCAGCGCCCGGCTTGGTTGAGATTTTTAATTAGTTTAGACTTTGGGTTTAAACACATGAAACTCAATGAAAATAGAATTGGCCAGTAGCTCCTTAGTCTTAACAGCTCTTTGGATACGCAGGAGGTGCTTGCATTTGTTTCCTTAGCCAGAGAAATTTATGTTATCATTAGCAAACCATTATTAAGCCACCATTTTATTTTTGGCATATATTATTATTTGTAAGTTTACCTCTACGTGTATTTATTTGCAGACTAGGTCTCCCTGCACAGCCACTCCGCAGCAGCATCACAATGCGCCACCGCTCCCCCTGTTCCCTGGAGGTCGAGGGTTTTTCCCCAGTACTCAGCTCACCCGCGCCCAGCCCTCCCTCCTCACTCCCCCACTCTTCTTGCCCGGGCCTTTCCGCCCAACTACCCTTTCCCACACCGTTCCCAGTTTTCCCTCCCCCAACACCTTTCTCCTACCCACTCTTTCCCCCCGCCCAGCTGCTCACTAGCCACGCCCCTGGGCGTCCCCGCCCCGCACATTGACGACCTGTACCTCGCCGCCCTGCCGTCTTCGTCGTTACGCGTTTACTCTGCGTCTTCGTCGTTACGCATTTACTCTGCGCCGGAAGAAGACGCTACAGGCGCTTGTGGAAGGATGGCGGCGGTCGATATCCGAGGTGATTGGCGTTGTTGTGTCTCCTTACTGGTTTGTACACTGCCTTGGAGGTTCATAGCCCTTTGGGACATTTCTCCAATTCTTCCGAATAGGTTTGAATGTTTTTGCTGAGTTTTTTCCGGTCCCTGGGGGTCGAACTTTGCACCGCGCCGACGCGAAGGCGCTGGAAGCGGCTCGGAGCGTGGGGCCCTCCGCCGGGGTTCTGCCCCACGCCGGTCTCCGCGTGGAGCCCTCCGCCGGGGTACTGCTCCACGCCCGTCTCCGCCTTGGCGTTGGGGCTATGGCGTCGTAACTACAGGGCGGGGGGTGTCTGTGCAGAGGGAGGAGAGGGGTAAAGGCTCCCGCTCGGCTGGTGGGATTCGGCCTGGAGCCGCCCTTCGGGCCCCGCCTGGGCCGCCGGGCGAGGCTGCCTCAGTCTTTCCGTTGAGAGCTTTGTTTCTAGGTCTCTGATGCTTTTCAGCACAACAGATCAGGGGATGGTTTCTTTTTTCACAGCAGGAATGTAGAGGTCCTAAAGTATTTGCTAAGTCAACCAGAGAATAAACTGGAGATGGCAACCCCTTGATCGGTACCTCGTACGGTTACCTTTTTTTTTTTTTTTTAATTTGCCAGTCCTAGGGCTTAAACTCAGCACCTGTACACTGCCCCTGAGCTTCTATTGCCCAAGGCTAGCTCTCTTCCACTTCTGTCCCAGCTTCACTTCGGCCTTTTGGTGGCTTGGAACCGCGATCCTCAGAACTCAGCTTTCTGACGAGCTAGGATGAGAGTGTTCAAGATGAAGTGTTCTGTATGAAGTGGTTGGAGTCTGCTTAACTCGTTGATATATTTTTTTTGCATGAGGCTGTAGTCCCAGCCTCCAAATGAGAAAGATAATGTTTTATTTTATGACTTTAGAATGTACTCTTAATCCCAGTTAAGTGTTTATCCTTGGATAATGGAGTTGGATATTGAAGTCTGTGTAAATGAATTGATAAATATATGTGGTTAGTAGAGTAAATCATATTTGTTTATAATCCTCAGTCTATGAATTATAAGCATTTGCTAATTACTGTTAATTGGGTCCATTGCTATTTATTGATGAGTAATGCAAACATTTGTATTTCTTGGTTATGATACGAGTATTAATAGTAAAAATATATTAAAATTGCTGTGAGGACAGAAAAGGAGCCACCACCACTATTATCATATATCACATACAGTGAATACTTCTACATCTTGTCCTTATTAAAAAAAATCCTACCCCTTTAGGTAAATTCTCATTCTTCTCTGCCCTTATAACCCAATAACCCTATCTTTATTATAATACTTCCTAGATTGTGTTATCATTGTTTTCTTGTATATGTCTTCTGTTAAGCAATGAGAGAATGTAGGTAGGTGCCAGGCCATTTTTATATTCATAGTGTCTATTACATTAGATGCATAGTAGCTATTTATTGGCCTGGATTCTATTTTCTAATCCTTTTATCATTTTTTTCTTTTGCCTAGATAATCTGCTGGGAATCTCTTGGGTTGACAGCTCTTGGATCCCCATTTTGAACAGTGGTAGTGTACTGGATTACTTTTCAGAAAGAAGTAATCCTTTTTATGACAGGACGTGTAATAATGAAGTGGTCAAAATGCAGAGGCTAACATTAGAACACTTGAAGTAAGTTATTAAATGATAGCATTTTTGCCAACTAGAGATTTTGCAGCAAATAGTTCTTTTGAGTTGTAGATCATGAAGTAGAACTTTTGGGAAAAAAACTGGTTTGTTTGGATTTGACATACAAACGATTTACTAGCAGTTACTTGTCTTTTCTATATAATTTCATACTATCTACTTTAAAGTAGAACTGAGATTTAGATCCTGTGATGAACAGCTGCTATCAGCCAGAAAACTATAGTTATTGTCCTTTTAAAATCTAATTAGTTAAAATCTAATATTAGACACATAATCTTTGAATGAAAAAGGAAAATTTAGCCAGACATAGAACAGGATTCTTTAGTCAAAGATCCTAAATAAGAATTTATTGCTGTTGTATTTGTTTTTGTTTTTTGGGTCCAGTCATGGGGCCTAAATTCTGGGCCTGGGCACTGTCCCTCAGGTCTTCAGCTCAAGGCTAGCACTCTACCACTTGAGCCACAGCGCCACTTCAGGCTTTTTTTTTCTGCTTATGTGGTACTGAGGAATCGAACCCAGGGCCTCAAGCATGCAAGGCAAGCGCTCTACCACTGGGCCACCTTCCCAGCTCAATTTTTTGCAATTGTAAAAGTGTCCAAAACCTCTCTATATAATTGGGAATGGGATCGGTTTTATGAAATTAAATTTCCATAGTATTATAACCTTATTATTATAACATGGTATTACAAATGTCTTGTTTTGAGGCAAATAAAGCTACTAAAGACAACTTACTGTTGCTTTATACATAATCTGGCAATTCAAAAATGTATTGGGTTACAGGTAAAGTTTTTTTCTGTTTGCTGTTTGGGTAGAATATATAATTGGGTCTTCATAGCTCTCTTTTTTTTTTTTTTGGCTTATGTGGTGCTGAGGAATCGAACCTCAGGTATGCAAGGCAAGCGCTCTACCACTGAGCCACCTTTCCAGCCCATTCACAACTCTTTTTTTATATCTTACTCTATTATTAGGAAGTGTCATGCTATTTTGACTGGCTTTTTGAAACATACTATTCAGTGTACTTGTATTGTTAAAAATACTTAAATTTAAAAATACTTAAATTCACTATAAGTTTTTGTAAAGAAATTTTTTGTTTAAAAACCAAATCTTACTCTTGAACACCACCCAGTTTTCATCAATAGCCAGTTTTTAAACCAAATATAGGCAGTTTTAATCCTTTTAGCAGTGTTGCTGCAATTTATCTAGTAATTGTAAAGTCCTACAAAATTGTGTGGGCATTCATCACTCTCTGGGTATCTGTCTGTTACAGTCAAATGGTTGGAATTGAGTATATCCTTTTGCATGCTCAAGAGCCCATTCTTTTCATCATTCGAAAGCAGCAACGCCAATCTCCTACTCAAGGTAAAGTGTATAAACTTCAGACATTATTTCTTTTTAAAATACCCTATATACTTCTCAACCAGTATATGTTCTTATTTTGGGAAGGATTTAGCTGGTTTTGGTGCTCCTCAAGCCATAGGTGCTTAGTACTTTGCTAAGTGGGCTCATCAGACTCAGAATATCTTTGTACTCAACCGCTAAAACTTATTAGAGCTACACAGTAAGGATCTACTGTGAGCTTAGTCATGGAAAACGACATTGGGTGGAGTCTACAGGAATCCCTGTGCAGGTTTTTCCTCCTGCCAAGAGCCATAGTAAGTGTGGTTCATTTAGCAGTGCAATGCATCCACGTGTGTATATCTGCTCAGTGAAGTCATTTTTAAACTCCAAGTCCAGGATTTTTATTGAGGACTGGTAATATAGGTATCCTCTGCATAACAGAATTTCCAACTCCTAGAAGAAAATAAGGGCTCCACTGTACTCATACTGTTTGTACAGCATGGCTACAAAAGGTGGTACAGTAGGTATAACTGTCACTTAAGAAATACTTAAGAAGCCAAGTTCCATGAGGACTTCCACAATATATCCAAAGACAATTCCCCAAACCCTAACCATCAGGGCAATCCCTGTTTTCCTGTGATCAGAGTTGTAGGAATCACATGGAATCTTAAGTATCCTAAGGAACTTTTTATATCAGTACACTTGAGTTAATGTGTTATAAAATAGATAACAAATACAGTCATATCAGATTTCTTGTAGATCAACTGAATATTCTTAATTATGTACCCAAACAAAACTCATACCTGGATTTTAAAACTTGCGGAAGAACTAAAACTGGTGGGTGCCAGTGGTTTACTCTTGTAATCCTGGAAACTCAGGAGGCTGAGATTTTGAAGACAGCCAAGGGCAAAAATATCCATGAGGAAGTCAAGCACTGCTGGCTTACACCTGTAGTCCTAGCTACTCAGTAGGCTGAGATCTAAGGATTACAGTTCAAAGCCAGCCCAGGAAGGAAGTTCTATGAGACTCTTACTACTAATTAACCATCTAAAAATTGTAAGTGGAACTGTGGTTCAAAGTGGTGGAGTGCTAGCCTTAAGCAAAAATGCTCAAGGACAGCACCCAGGCCCTGACTTCAAGCCCCACAATCACTACCACCACCAAAAAAAGTCCATGTCCATGAGGCACTTATCTTCAAGTAACTAGCAAAACTAGGAGTAGAGGTATGGTTCAAGTGGTAGAGTGCCAGCCTTGAGTGATAAAGCTGAGTGAGAACATGAGGACCTGAGTTCAAGCTCCAGTACAAGCACCAAAAAGAAACAAGACAAAACACTAACACAAGAGTAATGAATTCTGATTTAGTTTGTCTGAAGAGTCAAATTCATCATCTACTCTAGAGATGACCAGAATAAGACACACTGGAATCAAACTAGCACTGTGAAAAATGCCACACTAAAGAGAGGATTCAAGGTAGACATTTAGGAACAACGCTTACCTTGGTAATGATTTCAGAGAATGACTTGCTAAAGAAGTTGTATTTTTAGAATCCAAATTGAATTTCGAGATAAAAGATCTGGAGTCTCTTCCCAGAGAAAAGAGATCCTTAGAAGAAAGGCAAGACCATGTGAGAGATTTCAGGGTATAGAAGCCACACAGGTGGCACCAGGCTCAGTAACTGCTATATTTTTCTTTAGGACTTGGACCTGGAACTCAGAGGCAACTTTAGTGCATTAGATATCTGTGCATTTCTCTTGCTGTATGAGAGATTTTTGTGTGTGTGTGTTCTCTTACTTTGATTGATAAGACCACTGACACCACTTGGGAACTTGAAATGCACTATGTTAACTGATAAGACTCATTTTAACAGGTTCCAAATGCATATTAAATTAAACAAATGTGATTCAGTTATTCAGGAAAGTTTGAGGCACACTGCTCTTGGCTAAGAACTTGGCATACTTTATTTCTAAACCCTTAAATTCTTTAGGTTTTCTGGGCAAACTACTCAAAACTGCCCAAGTACCTATAGATAACCTGTGAATAAATGCATGTGGCTTTTTCCCAATACTTTACTTACAAAAACAAGAATTTTCCTCATTTAATTTAGGAAAATGTCAGATATTGCTTATTAATTTAAGATCTGTTTAGCAATATGTACCTGGAGATATATTCATAAACATTTTTTCCTCTGTTGCTTTAGTTATCCCGCTAGCTGACTACTATATCATTGCTGGTGTTATCTATCAGGCACCAGACTTGGGATCAGTTATAAACTCCAGAGTGGTAAGTGGCCTTATGTTCTTTAAACATTAAAGAAAATTTTAATAGAAATATTCTGCTTCCAAGAAATAAACAGGAACTCTTCCCCCTTAAGTTGACATAAAATGTTAACTACTAGAATGCCTTTTGCAGTTTACTAGGAACCAAGTCAGTATTCATATATACAGTTGGCTTTCATTGTACCATAGGTTCCATACTTTTGCTGGATTAAGAATACTCTGAAAAAAACCAAAATGTGCCCATACTCAATATGTACACACTTTCTTGTCATTCCCATCACAATGAAGGATAACAACTAGTTACATAGCATTCACATTTCATTATATCTCATAAGTAATACAGAGATGATCAAAAGTAAATAGGTGAATGTGTATATGCAAATACTGCAGAAATGATGATACAATTAGTTATATAGTAATTTAGATTCTTGAAAAGGAGGGCTGGGAAGGTGGCTCAGTGGTAGAGTGCTTGCCTTGCGTGCATGAGACCCTGGGTTTGATTCCTCAACACCACATAGGCAGAAAGTGGCACTGTGGCTCAACTGCTAGAACAGTAGCTTTGAGCTGAAGAGCTGAGGGACAGCACCCAGGCCCAGAGTCCAGTCCCCACAACTGACCAGAAAAAAGAAACTGGGTTCCAGTGGCTCATGCCTGTAATCCTAGCTACTCAGGAGGCTGAGATCTGAGGGTCATGGTAAAGCTAGTCTAGACAGGAAAGTTCATGAGACTCCAATAAACACCAGAAAACCAGAAGTGCTGTGGCTCAAGTGGTAGAGTGCTTGCCTTGAGCTGAAGAGCTGAGGGATAGCACACAGGCCCAGAGTTCAAGCCCTACAACCAACAGAAAAAACCCCAAAAGCAAAAAACAGGAAATTAACTGCCTTTACATATATAATATTTTGATTTACTTTGGAAATTTTGATTATCAAATAAGAAATTTAATACTTGGTTGTTTTTTTTTTTTTTTACAAGCTTACTGCAGTTCATGGCATTCAGTCAGCTTTTGATGAAGCTATGTCCTACTGTCGATACCATCCTTCCAAAGGATATTGGTGGCATTTCAAAGACCATGAAGAGCAAGGTAGAACACCTAGATCTTACTAAAATACACTTGTCCCCTCTGTGTGTGTGTGTGTGTGTGTGTGTGTGTGTGTGTGTGTGTATGTATCTATCTATCTATCTGTCTCCCTCTCTCTCCCTCCCCTCTTCCTCCCCTTTCTTACGTGTGTGTGTGTATGTGTGTGTGTGTGGGTGGTGGTGGTGGTGGTGGTGGTGGTGGTGGTGGTGGTGGTGGTGGTGGTGGTGGTGATGGCACTCACTAAACCTAAGACTAAATGTACACAAGTGCTGTACCCTATTGTTACATACATACCCCTCGAAAATAGTCGTTGAAGCCCTGAGGATGAAATTATTTTCTTCTATAACTGTTTTTCTTGGTAAACATTAATAGTACAAGGGGATTTCATTGTGATAATCCCATAGATGTGTACAATGTATGTTGAACAAGTTCTTCCCTCTAATAATCCCCTAACCTTCCTTTCCCTGAAGCTGGTTTCCTAGGTAAAAGGATATTGATGTTTCCTAGGTGCATTTTTCTTTTTCATAGGATGGTAACATTGCAGTTGTGATTCTTATAAGTAGATGTAGTAATAGCTTTCACAAAGGAGCATATAACAAGTTTTATCAGCTAGGTAAGTGGTAATTTTTGTGAAAGCGATTCAGTTTTAAAATATGTGGCTCACAAAGAGGAGAAACAGTGCTGAGGGACAAGCAAAAGTATTTCCTACTACCTGTTGGGTCATCTTGGGATTTGGAACCCTTAATCTTCCTCTCATCTTCAAAGTAGAGTGAATGAGAGGCTGATCATACAACCTTCTCTGTGTGGTGCCATGGCACCAGGCATCCTATGTCCCACAGCTACTACTCTACCAGTGCTTTTCACCATGTTCAGAAATGTGTCTACAATAATATTCCTATACTCTTCCTTCTCTGACAAAAGCAACTCAGCATAAATCATATGGCCAAGGGAACCTTTATAAAGAGTAATTTGGGTAAGGTTTTGTGTTTTTGCCTCTGTCAGCCTTGGACTGCAGTCCTCTTACCCATGCCTCTAATGTAGTTGGGATCACAGGTGTGAGCTAGGATCTCCTTTTTGACTAGGTTGGCTTCAAATTGTGGTTCTCCTGGTCTCTACTTCCTAAGTAGCTGGAATTGCCATCATGAGTCACCGTTCCTGGCTCTATTTTGACTTTTTATAGTTGGTTCAGGCAAGGATGTTTGATATAGGGCTATTTTCCCCTGTCCTAATGGCATTTGGGATAACATCTGGAACCCCTTTATTTAGAGACGGTTCTTTAACTGCCTCCCCCTCTCTCCTACCACACACACTTGTGAATAGCTTCAGAAATTTTCTATCTAGTTTTTTTTTTTTTCCCCCTTGTCTTCATGGTAGAAAGAGACCACTTTATTGCATGTCATTCTGAAGAGCCTGATGAAATTTCTCTGGCCCATGCTATCATATCCTAGGTATGAATCATCCCCTTTTGTAGCAAATCTGTACTGAATACACTACTTGCTCAGTAGTCATATAGTAGTCAACTCAGCTATCAGACTGATAATCAAAATAATCACAGTTCTTGGGTTACAATAAGTTTTTTTAAAGACCTAATAATGACCCCAAAGTGTTAGAGTAATAATGCCAGAGATTCAAATATGCCAAAAACTTAAAGTGCTTTCTGTAAGTAAAATATGAAAGATATCTTAAAAGAGATCACATTCATAAAATTTCTATTACAGTAAAAAAGGAAAGAAAAAGACCACTTGATTCACTTAAAATACACAAAACATTTTCAGACTGATAATCTGGATTATGACTTAGACATTTATGAAAAAACTTTAGGCTTACAACTCTTAAGTAGCCCTGCTACATAATGAAATGGAAGTTTCTTTAAAAGACATGTTAGCCAAGCACTGGTGGCTTATACCTGTAGTCCTAGCTACTTGGGAGGCTGAGATCTGAGGATTGTGAATTGAAGCAGCCTGGGCCGAAAAGTCCCTGTGAAACTTTTATTTCCAATTAACGACTCAGAAACCAGAAATGGTGCTGTGGTAAGAGTGCTAGCCTTCAGCACAAAGAGGCTCAGGGACAGTGCCCAGGACCTGAGTTATAGCCCCACAACTGACAAAAATAAATAAATAAACAAATAAATAAATGACATGTTTACTGCATCATTTAATATCATTTAGGAGCTAGAGCCTTCTGTCTGTATGTTCTGTTTAGCTTAGTTGGAATCATCTTGGTACAGTGCCTATTGAAAATAATAAAGCTTGAATATGTTAATAATGGAGAAAGATTTGAAAGACAAGAGACTAAACTGATTGTTTTGATTTGGATTTCATATTTTGATAGATAAAGTTAAGCCTAAAGCCAAAAGGAAAGAAGAACCAAGCTCTATTTTTCAGAGACAGCGTGTGGATGCCTTACTTGTAGATCTCAGACAAAAATTTCCACCCAAATTTGTGCAGGTAAAATAGAACATATACGTAAGTTTTGGGTAACCTATCAATGAGAGTGAGTTATCAAAATTGCCCTCTGTTGTTATATTTGGAGCTACCTGTGCTTTTTTTGTCTAGTGTTTATTTCACTTTTTAAACATTTTTTCCCCATCCTTTCCCTTTAAGCCTTTGTTTGTCTTTGCCAGGGAAATGCATTTCTTGCAAGAAAGTAATGGGTGGGTTTTTCTTTTTTGTCAAGTCTATCAGTTTGTATCTTTATGGGGTGGGGGGTGGGCTGCTACTAGGTTTGCATTCAGGGTTTTGTTCTTTTTAGACAGTAGATACTTCCTAGATACTCTAGTGTTTGAGCCTATTGCTCCAATTCTCCCATTTTAAAATCTAGTTATTTATCTATTTTTAGGCATCACTGGAGTTTGAAGTCAGGGCCTGGCACTTGATAGGCAGGTATTCCACTACTGAGCCACATCTCTAGACCTTTTTTGAACTGGTTATTTTTGAAAGAGGGTCTCACTTTCTGCCTGGCATGAACTTGGACTGTAAGCCTCCTATTTATCCTCTCCAGTGTAGCTGGGCAGCAACACTGCACTCACCTATTGGTTTAGAGGGGGGAGAGTATCTGTTGAACTTTTTGCTCAGACTATCATTGAACTGTATTTCTTCTGACTTAGGCTTCCTTTGTAGCTAGGATTATAGGCATAAGCCATTGATACTTGGCTCAGAGTTATGACGTTAAGGAATTCCTGTCGTTTTGTAGTGTTTATTTACAGTCCATGTTCTTTCATTTGAATTATTTGCAGTGTTTAGGCAGTACTGGGTGGGGGTGGGCTTGAAGTAGTTTCTCACTGCTGTACTGGTTTAGCTCAGTAGATAAACATTCATCCAATGTGCTCAAGGGATGAGGCCTAATCTCCAGTATTACTCAGAGAGAAGAAAACCAGCTGCAGAAATAACCAAACTTGTTAAACATCCCCACTATGGAAATAGAATAATAAGTAGTCTTTAAAAATCGCCATCTCAGCCAGGTGCTGGTAGCACCCAATCCTAGCTACTCAGGAGGCTGAGATCTGAGGAACATGGTTCAGAGCCTGTCTGGGCAGGAAAGTCTGTGAGACTTCCTACCTCCAATTAACCACCAGAAAACTAGAAGTCAACTGTGGCTCAAAGTGGTAGAGCACTAGCTTTGAGCCGAAAAACTCAGAGACATCACCCAGGTCCTGAATTCAAGCCCCACAACTGACCAAAAGATAAAAGAAAAAAAAAATCACCATCTTAGCTGGGCACCAGTGACTCACACTTGTAATCCTAGCTACTCAGGAGGCTGAGATCTGAGGATCATGGTTTGAAGTCAGCTCAAGCAGGAAAGTCTGTGAGATGCTTCTCTTCCAATTAACCACTAGAAAACCAGAAGTGGAGCTGTGGCTCAAGGGGTAGAGCACTAGCCTTGAGTAAAAAAGCTCAGGGATAGTTCCCAAGCCCTGAGTTCAAGCCCCGCAACTGACAAAAAAAAAATCAGCTAAGGGACACCACCCAGGCCCTGAGTTCAAGCCTCAGGACTGGCACCAAAAAAGAAAGAAAAAAAAGCTTACTATCTCACTTCTAGTAACTTTAGAGGAATAAGAGAATGAAGATATACATCAATGTAGAAGATACTAAATCATGATAGAAATGAAAAGAAAATTAGAATAATACTAGTAAATAGTACCAGAAAGTCAGAATTTCATCACTCTCATTCTACTTTGTTATATATACATATAATCCATATCCTCTTCAAAAGCTCCATTATTTCTTCATTGGATTCTGCTTGTCTTTTTGTAAAGTATTATAGCCTTTGTGTGAAGGCATAGTGCTTTGTTCAATGTCAATGGTTTTTTATCACTATTTTGGTTTTAGATTTATGTCTTTATTGGAATGAGACTAAGAAGTAAAAATGATAAAAAAGTATATAATACATGAATAGTAATTTTTATGGTATATGGACAGTAACTTTGCTTTATGAAGTCATGTATAAGGCAATTTAGTTGAAGTTACCATTTTAATAAACTAGAAAAGCAAGAAGAAAATTTTGCTAACCTGCTCTGTTTCTGTATTTCTTCTTTGTTTCTTTCCCTTATTCCCTGTTTTTTAAATTACAGCAAAAGTCTGGAGAAAAGCCTGTCCCAGGTATGCTTTATCTGATTTTCTTATTAAGCTTGAAATAAAATCAAACTTCTGTTTAACATGTGATAATAACAGCATGTGAGAAGATCTGTGGTCATTTTGTCCTTTCAGGCTCTCCTCACCTGTGATTGCCAACAAGTAGGGCTTTTGTGGTAGTGATACTGGTATTTAAAAAATGAATTCACACAAAAGAGTAGCTATGGAAGGAATGTGAAGAACCTAGGATGACTTGAGGTCGTTTTTTCATTGAAAATAGGTATTGAACTACAGTTGAAACTGGGATGGAATAATTTTAACTCTTACTTATACATGATGACTTATTTAAATGCCATATGTTTTTGCCTAGTGTCATAAGTTTCCTTGAGTTAATAATAGGTTCTGTAGTTTATAAGAGGGTTCTTACATCTGATTGAGGAATTAACTTAAGGTAGAACTGGAGGTAGCTATTAAAATGAATTTGAAAAAGTGAACTATTCATATAATCCATTGTCTAAATTTAATTTATCCTTTCACCCACATTCATCTTAAAAAAAAACCTAACAACAACAATAAAAAACAAAACTACTTTGAATGTCTAGTGGAACAGACCAAGAAAGAAGCAGAACCCATTCCAGAAACTGTAAAATCTGAGGAGAAGGAGACCACAAAGAATGTCCAACAGACTGTGAGCACTAAAGGCCCCCCTGAGAAACGGATGAGACTTCAGTGAATGTAGGACAAAAGAGAAGCTTGCAAGACTCTTTGTGTCAATTATACCTCAGTTCTCTGGTAGGATCTTGAGCTTTAAAATGCTCTGTGTGGAATGCACTTGTTCTTAAGAAGGGATATTATACCCATCATGCTTTTTTGGGGAGGTGCTGGTACTGGATATTGAACCAAGGGCCTGGTGAAATGCTAGGCAAGAGTTTTACAACAGAATTGCGCCCCAGCCTTCTATCATAATGTATCTTTATGAATATTTCTTATGTATGTTTTGTATCCTTTCCCTTCTGGATTGGTACCACACCTGTTCCCAGGTGTGCTGGCATGTATCTTGAAAGACAAAATAAAGTTATTTGTATATACTGCTTGATCTTGGATTTTTCTTCACTATATCTATGTCTGAAGTTTTTCAGGTACACTTTGAGAGGACACAAAAGATGAATGTTAACATAGTAGTAACTAAGCACGTGTTTTTGTATTATATACAAATTCTTCAGTACCACAGCAATAAACTTATGGCAATGTGAAAGATAAAGAAAAACCTCTGCAAGAGAGCTGTGAATTTTGTTTCCTTTTTTTGTATAGCGTTACAAAAACTATGTATGGCTTTTGAATCACAGTTTGTATGATTCTGTTTATGCATTTTTACCTTACATTGTTGTCTATTTTAAGCATTTTCCTATATTCGTTCATGTAGAACATCTATTTTTGTGACTGAATAATTCCCAAGATTATTAGTCTCAGGATTTATAAACTACCTGTGTTATATTTGTTTTTTGAGTTTGAATTATTTTAAATGGGGCTGCAGTGAACTATGTTTGTGTATAATGTATTTTCAATATTTACTTTTTTTTCCTTAGGATAAAATTCATAGGTTAAAAATCTAGATTCTCTCTCTCTCTTTTTTTTTTTTTTTTTAGTGCTGGTCCTAAGGTTTGAACTCAGGGCCTGGGCTCTGTCTCTGAGCACTTTTTGCTCAAAGCTAACAATACCACTTGAGCCACAAATTCCAGTTCCAGCTTTTTTGGTAGTTAATTGGCGATAAGAGTCTCATGACTTGTTTACCCAGGCTGGCTTTCAACCTTGATCCTCAGATCTTAGCTTTCTGAGTAACCAGGATTACAGGCATGAGATACCAGGACCCAGCTTAAACTCTGTATTTTAATTGTTCTTCACTCATATTGCCCAGTTTCTTTTTTTTAAGGTATGGACTAGTTATCACTCAAATGGCAAAGTATGAAAATAACTACTTCATCAACATCGTTTTCTGATTTATGTCATTTACCGTGTTAGTGCCAATTAAATAGTGAAAATATACTTAATATTTTAAGGGGTAGAAGAATTTTTTGGTTTCTGCTTTTATGAGAGTTTGGTCTGAGAATTTTGTTTTAACTTTATATTTTGTGATATTTCAGACATTTGAAAAAGCTGTAGGAAGAGTACAAAGACTTCTTATATATATAACTTTTGTGTGTGAATGTGTTATATATGCACACATAAACCCCCTTTATATATTTCAGATTTTTTTTTTTTGGTTGGTTGTGGGGCCTGAACTCTGGCCTGGATGCTGTCCCCCAGCTCTTCAGCTGTAGACCAGCGCTCTACCACCTGAGCCTTGGCCCCATTTCCAGCTTTTTCTGCTTATGTGGTGCTGAGGAATCGAACCGAGGGCCTCATGCATGCAAGGCAAGCACTCTACCACTGAGCCACCTTCCCAGCCCCTCGGATTTCTTATAATACCATTTTCTCTAAGTATTGTAAGGGTTGGTTTTGTTTTGTTTTGTTTTTTTGCCAGTCCTAGTGCTTGAACTCTGGGCCTGGGCACTGTTCCTGGGTTCCTTTGCTCAAGGCTAGCGCTCTACTACTTGAGCCACAGTGCCACTTCCACCTTTTTCTGTGATTAATTGGAAATAAGAGTCTCACAGACTTTTCCTGCCCTGGCTGGCTTTGAACTACGATCCTCAGATATCAGCATACCAGAGCTAGTATTACAGGTATGAGCGATTGGCACCTGGCTTTAATAGGTCTTTTTTAAAATTAAGAACAATCTCTTACATAGCTACTATGAGACAATGCTGATCTTATATGTTGCTAGAGGTGCCAGTGGTGCCATTTACAATCGATACAATATTGAATTATGCATTGTTTTTGGTAGTTGTCTCTCTTTAGTTACTAGTCTCCTTTTATCTAGAGCGTTTTTTTTTGTTTTTCAAGACCTAGATATTTAAGGGTTCAGGACACTTGTTTTGATGAATGCCTCTTAGTTTGGGTGTACATAATAGGTAAAATCCACCCCATCTATACTTGCTAGAAACTAATGTTTAGATTATCCCACATTTAAGCCAATGGGAGCTATTTCAAGCCCTTTCAAGCTGATTCCTGTATCCTTTTAATGTGATCTCATTTTTTTTTTGTTTTGCTTTGTGTTTTGTTTAATGAGACATTCCAGATTCATGCCCACCTTGGAGGCAGCTATTTAAGATTTTCTTATCCATTTTAGAGAATGGCATTTGCACATCAAGATGTCATTACTTCCAGGTCTTCTCTGCTAATGTTTTTTTTAAATTGTTATTATAAAGGTGATATACAGAAGAGTTGTAGTTAAATATGTCAGGTGAAGAGTATATTTCTTTTTGGTCAGTGTCATCCCTTTCCTGTTCTCTTCTGATGGGGTTTATACACACATACATATGCATAAGAGAACATGGTATATGTCCATATACATCTGTTTATTCTTTCCAGTTGAAAAATCATCATCCACAATGCTGCCTTCCATCATTGCAAAGTTCACTATGTTTTTGTAGGAATTTTGCTAATTGATGATCTTCCCTTTTTAAGGTCCTGTTGTCAGTTTCGAACTGTGGTTTGAATTTTTGTGCATGGACCATTTCACCAGCATGACCCATTTCTTTGTTGTGTTTGGCCTGTTTCTTATATTTGGCTTGCTTCCACTAGCCTCTGCATTCATCATATAAAATCTGTTTGATCTAGGTGTTAGTACCCTGAAGTTCACCATTCAAATTTGTTAGTCTTTTTCAATCTTGCTATGTGAGATTTTAATCATCATCTTAATCACTTGGCATTTAGTCACAATAAGGCATTTCATCACAATCAACACTGAGTGGTAATCTAATTATGATGCTATTCCATGTACATTCCCAATAGGATGGGACTTTAGCTTTGTAATTTAGACCATGGATATGCCCAGACCAGTCCCACATTTCCCATTTACCTCTCTTGCAACCACTCAAACCAGGCCTTGTGTATTCCAAGATCCATTTCAAAGAAAAACTCACCAGAAGGAAATTGCCACAGGAAAAAAGTTTAAGAAAGTATTATAGGACTGAAAAAAAAATCAACGGAGAATATAGAGAGGTATGTAGAGGTAGGATTTCCCAAGACCTACAGTTGAAGCTATGATAATCTAAACTATTTTATAATACACCTCATAAACCTGGACCTTGACCTGGAACGTGAAGGATAGGGTTTTGTAATGGTGCTCATAATTTGGGAACTCAGGAAAGAATGGAGTTTTGATAGCCTTTTAGAAAGTGATTCTGGGGAAGTGCTGGTACCTTAAGAAGCTTGTCTCAAAAAAACTGACTCAAATCTCAGAGGGAGGGTACCTCATACTTAAGGGATAATATCAAGATTAATATGTGGCGTGGCCTGATAAAGCTGGTAACGGAATATCTCATTTTTTTGGGGGGGGGGACAGTCATGGGGCCTGAACTCTGGGCCTGGCCGCTGTCCCTGAGCTCTTCAGCTCAAGGCTAGCGCTCTACCACTTGAGCCACAGCGCCACTTCCGGCTTTTTTCTTTTTTCTTATGTGGTACTGAGGAATCGAACCCAGGGCCTCAGGCATGCAAGGCAAGCGCTCTACCACTGAGCCACCTTCCCAGCCTGGTAACGGAATATCTGAGAAAGGAACATTGTCTGGTTGATGTTGGATTCCCAGAGGACCAGAGATCATTCTGGTATGACCAGTTCTCAGACTTCAGAGGAAGAAGCACTTTTCTGCTGGTTCTTGAACCTTTGAAGAGGCTTGTTGTTAAGAGTGTTCTCTGAGGGGCTGGGAAGGTGACTTAGTGGTAGAGTGCTTACCTTGCATGCCTGAGGCCCTGGGTTTGATTCCTCAGCACCACATAAACAAAAAGAAAAAAGCCGGAAGTGGCGCTGTGGCTCAAGTGGTAGAGCCCTAGCCTTGGGCTGAAGAGCTGAGGGACAGTGCCCAGGCCCCAGAGTTCAGGCTCCACGACTGGACCCTCACCCCCCCCCCAAAAAAAAAATGTTCTCTGAGTATGTGGTATCAAGTAAATGTCACTGTTAGGGCACAGAACTATGGAGATAGGGAAACTCAAGAAGTAATAGCATGCAAACAGGAAATAGTTAACTTTTAGGAACTTTTTTTTTTTTTTACGTTTAGTGTTCCTCTGGTGCCCTTTTAGGGAAAACTCATTAGGAAGACTTGTCACTACAGAGAATAAAGTGCAGACTGCCATCCCTAGCTTAACAGACCAAGTATAAGAGTTAGGTGAGGGGCTGGGAAGGTGTCTTAGTGGTAGAGTGTTTGCCTTGCATGCATGAAGCCTGGGTTTGATTCCTTAACACCACATAAGTAGAAAAAGCTGGAAGTGGCACTGTGGACCTCAAGTCATAGCCTTGAGCTGAGGAGCTGAGGGATAGCACTCAGGCCCAGAGTTAAGGCCTCACGAAAAAAGAGGTGAAAATAATTGATGAGAAAATAATTGATCATCATAATAAGAACTCATTTTTGTGGTGATAGGCAAATGGCAGGTTATATTTCTCAATGCAATGCTTTCTGGTGTCTTCTACTCTATTGTGTTTCATTTACTTGGGACTCTTTACATTTATTTCATGCCCAGTATAGTTTGTGGCCCATGTTTGAGAAATGCTTGACTATATCATGACTGAGGAAGTAGAGTGATAGGGATTCTGAGTAATTTGCAATAGCTCCTTGGTGATGGATAGAGAGAGACAGAGACAGAGACAGAGGGGGGGGGGGAGATGCTTGTGATGATTGAAGTCTAAGTAATGTCACAGAGAAAGAGCTGGAGTGTGGCACCAGTTCACATAAGGGGAATGCGATATTCCTTTAGGACTTGTCTTGGGAGTGATACACTGGTAACAAAGACTGGTCTATACCAAACATTCTTTGCAATAAACTTTTCCATTTTACCTTTAGTGTATATATGTATATGTATATATACACTTAACATATGTATGTGTATATATGCATGTATATATTCATATATATATAAATACATATGTGTATGGTTTGGACTTAGGGCTTTGCACTTGCTAGGCAAGTGATCTACCAATTGAGCCATGCTTCTAACCCTTTTTATTCAGAATATTTTTGACATAGAGTCTTGCTTTTTGCCTAGGCTGGCAAAAAGCTAGAATGACTGGCACACACCACTATCCTCAGTCTTCTTGGTTGAAATGGGGTATCAGGAAGGCTTTTGCCATAGCTAGCTTGGAACTACAGTCTTCCCAGCCTCAGCCTCCTGAGTAGCTGCTAGGATTATAGACGTGTCAGCAATGCAAAGCTACTTTTTCATAATTCTGACAATGCTTTATATGTTATTAATCTCCAAGTCTTTCTCGTGATCCTCTCTCAGTATCCAAAACTTTGTAGCAAATAGCAAGGATATGATGAAGAGAGACAGGAAAAGGAAATTGGTTAGATTTCATCATATTTTTAAAATCAGAAATACTTCAGAGGCTTCAATCTCATGGTGTCCAGTGGCCCCCCAATTGACCTAAAATCCTGCAGTTACATATTTCTTTCCTTCCTTTCTTTTTTGTTTTTGTTTTTTTAATTTTAATTTGATTATCAAGGTGATGTACAGAGGGGCTACAGTTATATAGGGTAGTGATTACATTTCTTGTCTAAGTTGTTACTCCCTCCCCCATTTTCTCCCTCCTTCCCTTCCCTCCAATGCCTCCCCCAAGTTGTATAGATCATTTCCAACATATTGTCTTGTATCGCTGTTGCATAGGTTCCCCCTTTGTCCTTTGTCTCACCATTTTGTTGTTCCCCTTCCCTTCCTAGTTCAGATAAATGTATACACAATAACCAGGATACCAAATCGAATACAGTGACAAGGGGATAAACCATAGGGAAGGGTGGGGGGGTGGTACACAAAAGAAAAAAGAAATCACTTAGTACATTGAGAACAACAACAAAGAAAAACCTCTTGTGTCCATGTCTTGGAGTTCATTTCACTTAGCATCATCTTACATGGTCATATGTACATAGCTATTGAGCTATTCTGCTCATCTGCTATGATTATCCTAGATGTATACTAATTATTACAAATAAGGTACTGATGCTGGGGTTTGAGTGCAGGGCCTGGGCACTGTCTTTGACCTTTTTTTGCTCAAGGCTAGTACTCTATTACTTGAGCCACAGGTCTGCTTCTGGCTTTTTGGTAGTAACTTGGAGATAAGAGCCTCCTGGGCTTTCCTGTCTAGGCTGACTTTCAACCATGATCCTCCTCAGATTTCAGCCTCCTTGAATATCTTGGATTACAGGTGTGAACTACCTGTGCCAGCTCATAGGACATTGTTCATACTCTGTACTGTGGATCTCATTAGTCCTTATTTAAAATATTTATGACCTCTGTGTGTTAATGTTTCTAAACTTGCTTTAATATTGATTTCAAATGTTAAGCAATTTACTGCTGCTACCTTTAAGTGGAAATCATTGAATGGACAATTTTCACGCGAGACAAAATTTACATTTTCATGCATAATGGAGCTTTAATATCAAATTGTGGTGTCCTGAATATTTCAGAGAACTGATTTTAGGCTGAATTTCCTTAATGCAGCTTTCTTTGGAAAACTGAAGTTGAAACAGAGATCGAAGTAACTCACTAGCCATATGAAGATTTGAATTGAGTTTATATTAATAAGAGCCTTGTTTGGTCAGGAGCATGATGCACATATGCTGTGTGGAAGGAAGGCTGTTCTCTTCATGCTGTAACTGGAGGAAGCCGGCTGTGGCGGAAGGTGTCCCATCTTCAACCCCATTTAGTGTTCAGTGCTTTGTTTCATTGAGACAGGATCTCCTTATATAGCCTTGGCTGGCCTCCCAAGCTTACGCTGTAGCCCAGGTTGCCCTTGACTAGTTAGTAATCCTCTTGCCTCTACTTACTGAATATTGGTATTATTGGCATGTGTCACTATGCCTGGCTTGTCTTTAGCTTTTGGGTAGGTAAGAAAGCATTAGGAAGTAAAAATTCATCCAGATTGGAAGCAGACTTCCCAACACTAAGGTGTATTCTAAGTGCACCCTTTTGATGGCTAATTTAGAACAGAATGAAGTTTACATAAAGTGTCTGTAGATAGGAAAGTGGAGCTAAAACAACTGTATGCATAAAGGGATTAAAAATGATGGGCTTGGGTGAGTTATTTACATGCACAATGAATGTGCAGTTTGTCAGTAGGTTTGCAATTGACAGAAATTTGGGCAGGTACCAACATCTTTTTTAAATGGAAAGTGTCTTGCAATTTTACATGTTTAAAGAACAGTGCATAATGAACCCTTATTTATCTATCACCTCGGTCAGACAATTACCTGCATATGTCTAATCTTTAAAAAAAATCTTACTGTGTTCCTCTACTCTTAGAGGGAATCTTATCTTTTTATTGTTTCAAATCTGGTGCCATCTCAAGACTTGTTTTAGCTTCACTTTCTCACTCCCACTCTCCTTTTTATTTTTGTTTTCAGCACTGCATCTCTGATGGTCCAATTCAGCCAGGACACAGATCTATAAAGATCAGCCCCACACTCTGATCAGCTCAGAGAGAGAAGCTAGACCAGCAATTCCTCATGTCCTACCTCCATAGTGACATCTCCATGATGCCAATGAGTGAGATCCCAGTACATATCAGGCTGTTCTTCTGTCACTGTGGCTTGAGATATCTCTGTCTATTCCTAGCCTCTCCCAGGCAAGGCCTTCCCAGCATTTCATCTCTCCAGAAATGGTGATCCCCTTGAAAGGTGATCAGCAGGGCAAAGGAGCCAAGGCTCTGGGTTTTCTCTCCTATAGTTTCTGGTTTGGGGGCCAGAGGTACATTGTCCACATGAAAGTCAAGAAGCTGCTAGTTTCTACACACTTCCCTCTTCTTACCTACACAGAAGAGTGTGCCATCCATGAGGAACAGCCCTTCTTCCAGGATGACTGCTAATAGCATGGTTATGTGGAGGGGATCCTGAATCTCTGGTTGCCCTCAGTACCTGTTCTGGCGGCTTTCGAGGCATGCTACAGATAAACCATCTTGCTTATGAAACAGAGCCAATTCGAATGTCTGCCACATTTGAACACTGGGTTTATAGGATAGAAAGTGATGAGACACAATTGCTATTCATGAGATGTGGGTAAACAGAAGATAAACTAACATTCTAATTGGAGTGGCAGTTGTCCTATAATTTTACTCTGAAACGAAGTTCTTAGGTGGGTTGGTGAACCCACTGGTGGTTTATTGAGCTGTTAGTTGTGGACCATGATAGATGTCTTTTTCTCTAAAAGTAATATGTCAGAAGTGTAGTTGGAAGTATTTGTTATCAATATAATGGATTTGTTTTTATAAACCTCTTGAAGTTGATATAATTTTAACCATGATGGAGATTTGGAATAATGAATGCCCATTTTTTCTTTTTAACCAGTGGTGACATAGATCAAGTTGTGGAGTATTTTTCTGTTTGGAAGCATTAGCAGCTTAATGTCCAATTGAGATATGATGTTGCACATATTTTCATTAAAAATTAAAGGGCACAAGGCTTGGTATTGCCTATGTTAACGGAATATGCCAGAGACCTTTTAACTGTGGAGCTGATGTTTTTGAAAACAGATCATTATTCCTTTTTGCATGTACCATGACTCATGAGCTTGGTCACACTAGGTGGTGTGTGTGTGCATTGAAGTGGTGAGCCATGTATGCCTACAGAAGGGTGTCAAGGGCTGGGAAGGTGGCTCAGTGGTAGAGCACTTGCCTTGCATGCATGAGGCCCTGGGTTTGATTCCTCAGCACCACATAAGCAAAAAGAAAAAAGCCGGAAAGTGGCACTGTGGCTCAAGTGGTAGAGTGCTAGCCTTGAGCTGAAGAGCTGAGGGACAGCGCCCAGGCCATAGTTCAGGTCCCACGACTGGACCAAAAAAAAAAAGAAGGGTGTCAAGTAAGTTCAGCAACTGCAATTATAGCCAATATTGGGACAGTTCTTAGCAATACTGGGTTATGTATCTACCCTCTTCCACATCCAGCAAATACCTTTAGACTCAAGTACTGTGGCAACCGTAGTTGTTGAAGGAGAGGAGTGTGATTGTGGAAACATATACCAGTGTGCAAAAGATCCCTGTTGTGTTTTAAACTGTACACTGAGTCCTGGAGCTTCTTGTGCTTCTGGACTTCGTTGCAAAGACTTCCAATTCATGCCATCAGGGACTGTGGATACAAGAGGCCAGTGAATGTGACCTCCCATGCCAAGAAGATGTATATGTGCAGGATGGGCTCCCCTGGAGAGGTCTTTTTATAGCAGTAAAAAAGACATGTAGCAACCATGACATGCAGTGCAAGGAGATTTTTTTGGCAGTGATGCATGGAGTGCATCTCAGAGGTGCTACAAAGAAATCAACACTCAAGGAAATAGTTTTGGACACTACAATATTGTAGGCACAATCTATGTGAAATGTTTGGCTGCTGATATCATGTGTGGGAGAGTTCAGTGTGAAAACGTACACACAGTTCCTAATCCTGTAGAACATTCTATAGTGTATCAGTTTCACCTCAATAACACTGGCTGCTGGGGAACTGATTATCACTTAGGTATGTCTATACCTGATGTCGGTCAAGTGAAAGATGGTACAACGCGTGGTCCAGGAAAGATTTATATTCATAAAAAGTGTGCAAGTATGGTTTGTCTGCCACAAACCTGCCACAAACCTGTAAGTCTGAGACCTGCAACATAGGGTGATCTGCAATAATAAACAGCACTGTCACTGCAACCATAGATGGGCACCTCCCTATAGTAGTACCAAAGGCTATGGAGGGAGTGAAGACAGTGGTCCACCTCCAAAGAATGGTTCAGAAGAATCAAATGTAAAGGATAACTCTAGCCAACTGTTACTACTGTGGCCCATTCCTGTGATTGGTTTGTTCTTATGCTGCTTCGTGTGCTTTGAAAATGCAAACAAAGAGGAACAGGATGAGGAAATCTTAGAAGGGGAAGAGGAGGAGGAGGAGGAGGAAGAGGAGGGGAGGGGGAGGAGAGGGGAAGGAGGAGGAAGAGGAGGAGGAGGAGGAAGAAAGGAGAAAAAGTAGAAGAGGAAGATGACTTTATTTGAACAACCTCCATATTTTTTCTTTTAAGGGTAGGAAAACATGAGGACATGTCTACCTAAACAAAAATTAGATCAGATCAGGATCATAAGCTTTAGATAGCATAGCAAAGGATGCTGAACATATTCTTACTCTTACTTACTCCTCAGTATTTTCAGTAAAATTTAAAGGTCCATTTCCCCCAGAAGTTATCTTTTTCTATTTCCTGAGATGGCAAAACAAAAACACCTTTTTAAAGGCAGGAGCTTCCCATGTAGGCCTAGCTGGTCATAAATTCACTATGTAGCTTGGTTGCTATCAAACTTATGATCTTCCTGCCTCAGATTTCCAAGTGCTGGGATTACAAAGCAAGCACCATCATGCTCAGCTACTAAGACACATTTTAAAAGTGTCTCTCCATCCTAAACCTCCTGTTACAGTTTCTTTTGCTTGACTTTATAATTCCCTGGATGTGTGTCTATAAAGCCTATTTCTGTTTGGCACAGTTAGGGACGAATAGAAATAGGCTGGGGAGGGGCTGGGAAGGTGGCCCAGTGGTAGAGCACTTGCCTTGCATGCTCGAGGCCCTGGGTTCGATTCCACAGCACCACATAAGCAAAAAGAAAAAAGCCGGAAGTGGCGCTGTGGCTCAAGTGGTAGAG